GCTGTTTACAGATGGATTCTGTTTGTATATACATTAGACATTATAGGACCTTGATGCACATAATTTTGTTTTACGATATGATTCACGATGGCCTAATGGCAGCCATTTTTGTGCTAAAAAATCCAAAAAATCAACCATTTCTCAGCTGTTTACAGATGGATTTTGTTCAAACTTGGTATATACATTAGACATTATGGGACCTTGATGCAAATAATTTTGTTTTTCAGATGCACATTATTTATTTTTCAGATCGGATTCAAAATGGCTGTCTGGCTGCCATTTTGTTTTAATAAATGGGCTTCTAGACCCATATCTCCGACTTGTCTCGACTGATAATATTTTCAAATTTTAAATATTCATTATACTTCATGTCATAGATAGACAGATATATTGGTTTGACTATCCTATTCATAATGGCCGAATGTTGGTCATTTTTGTGCTAAAAAATCATCAAATATCAAGCATTTATGGGTGGATTTCGTTCAAACATTTTATTTTTCAGATTCGATTCAAAATGGCTGACTGGTGGCCATTTTGTTTTAATGATTGGGCTTCTAGAGCCATATCTCTTAAATGCTTTGACTTACTATATTTAAATTGTATATATTCGTTATACATCATGTTATATATCTTAAATTTGATAACTAACTGGGATTTCACGAAAATACAGATCTTGAATTTGGTTGTGAATACATTCCATGTATTTTTGTGATTCCACGAAAATACAGGGTTTGAATTAAGCTGGTTTTGTATAAATGCATGAAAATACAGATCTCGAATTGGGTTGTATTCATACAAATCAATGTGAATGCATTCCATGTATTAAGCTGCTCAAGTATGAATCCAGGAAGATAAGTCCCTGTATTAATCTGTATCTATACACTAAATTAATACATGAATAATAGACTTCCTGTATCAACATTTATTCACAGGAAATACAACACTGATGCGGGTAAAAACAGGAATGCATTTACTGTGAATGCAGGTCAATAAAGGAAGTGTATTATCCCTGTATTAAATGAGTGCAAATACACGTGAAGACAGCCTGTATTCACATGAATAAAATGTTACATTTCCCTGTATTCCTATTGAATTTCTGATAATACAGGCTAATGTACTGATGAATACAATCTGTATTTTCGCAATTTCACGTAGTGTTACATAATATGATTAATCTTCAATGATATTTATCAATGAAACTTATAACTGGAATCATTTTGGTTCATTTAAGGTGTATTTAGTACGAGTTTACTGGTTGGTTCAAACGTTGAAGTCATTAACGGCACTGACGCCATTTTGCAGTGTAATGTAACCGTTGATAGCCTCTCACCAGAAATAACATGGTTGCGAGGCCCTGTACATGGATCAGCATGTCCAATCATTACTTTCGACCAGTATGGCCAGCATCACTATGATCCGTACGACAGACACTCGTTTATCAACAATAGTTCTCTTCTAATTAATACAACTGTAAGCAATGACACTGATACATATTGGTGTGAAGTACAAAGTGCTGGAATTACTTTATTTTACGATTCCTTATATCTCTCAGTAGTAGGTGAGTATATTTAACACAATATCCCGCCGTTATCAACACATACAAATGTTGCAGGTGCCAGAATAATATCGGATAATATATTTGAGGGGGTTTAATCAAGCAAACTGTTCTATATTTGTTACATATTATATTATGTGTTTAATGACTTGAGAACTTCTAGTATGATTGTAATTTCTCACAATTTGATTAAATAATGTAATATGCGATACATTTTGGATAGTACTGTTCATTGATATACCCTATATGTTGTGTTACTGCTTAAATAAATATCTAATTTTAAAATAGAGAGGTGAAAGTGTTATTCTACACCTCAGAGGAAACAAATTAACATGCAAGACTAATACTAATACATACAGAGTGTAAAACAGTATTTTCTAAGTAAAAAGGCTTGTTCGCACAATTGGACTGGTAAATACTGTTCAGAGCACTGATATTGCACTCTGCGGATAAATGCTGAAACCGATTTATAATACAAATTGTCTTCTACCTGAAATAAACAGCGTGCTTATAACATGAAATATTACGCTTTGCATTTTTTTCTCG